TATACTGGAACCTGGGGTTGTTCCTGCCCTGCACATGGTGGTTATTTACTTGACAGAGTTGACCCAGGTGGATCATTTTGCACAGTACATATTAAGACTTTGAACGTTTCAAGCCTCACAACTGTTGTAGCAGTATTTTGCACACTTGGAGGTGGATTTTTTAAGCAACCAGTGCTGCTGTTTGCAAAACACGGTATTTACTTCTGCCATAGTTACAAACTAATTAAGATGCTTTTCTTTAGGAAATTCAGCAAGAAACTGATATCCCTGAAAGAGAACTGGTTAGAGCCCTACAATCCCTTGCATGTGGCAAACCAACGCAACGTGTTCTTACAAAAGAGCCTAAATCAAAAGAAATAGAAAATGGTCATATATTTACAGTGAACGACCAGTTCACGTCTAAACTACACAGAGTCAAGATTCAGACGGGTAAGTGAGCTTTATGTTCTTTATGTCTTGGAGTTCCAAGTGCCCAAGGCACTTCCCTGGCATAATAAAAAGGAATTCTGTGACAACTGTTTGAGCTTTAGTGGAATTCTGCTTTTTCATCTCCGCTTCACAAACGTCAGTGAATGGGGAATAAGATTTTGAGTTCAAGATGGTTTTAGGACAAATGTGGTGCTTGTGACTTCATGTTCTTGTCTTCCATGCTACGTGTATCTCTTTAAAACTGATAAGTACTCGGGGCTTTTGAGTGAAGTGCAGAGCCGGGGGTAGTGGTTTAGCAGTGTGGGAGGAGGGCTTGGTTATCGTGATGCTTGGGTGAAAGGGTGAGACCAGTCAGACATAAGGGCAAGAAACAAAGCCTAAATAAGAAGAGGAGAGCAGAATACAAAGGCTATAATTGAGTTGAAGAGGATAAAGTTGGACTGCTACTTCTGACTGCTGAAGTATTTTAAAGTATTTAACTGGTCTGTGAAGTAAATGTTCAGTCCTTTTTCTATTTTAATTAATGGATTATTTGCTATATTGAAGAGAAAAATATTCAGTGAGAGCATGGGGATCGGTGGTGCCTGTAAGCAGATTTGAGTACTGTCCAAATTTGAACGCAGGAATAATTAAACAACAGATTGTTACCTTGTCAGTTGCTATCAAAATATGCCAGAAAGTGTTAATATGTTCTGGTGGCTGCTTTCCATAAAAGAAAAAATCAAGTTTGAGAATGTCAAAACTCACGAAAATACAACTTGATGTCTAAATGAAATAAACAGTGAAGCTAACACTTACACAATGAAATCAATTTTAGTTTTGCTAACATTCTTTACATTCTCTTTCTTTTCTTTAAGTTGCTGCCAAACAAGGAGAATCTGATCCAGAAAGGAAAGAAACAAGGCAGAAAGTAGATGATGACAGAAAACATGAGATAGAAGCTGCTATAGTTCGGATAATGAAATCTAGGAAGAAGATGCAACACAATGTGCTAGTAGCAGAGGTATACTTGTACACGGTTTTGGAAGGGGCTTGGGAACTCTTTTTGCTCTTTGTATTCATTCACAAAAGCTACACAGGACTCACTAACGTGATTCCAAAAGGCTTTTGAACGATGCTGTATTTAATCCATCCTTTCTTTTTCTCTCTGTCTATCTGAAGACATTTAAATCCTTACAGTTCAATTCGGGATTTACTTCTGAGTATATCCAAGTTTCCTTCCTCCTCGTACTGTTGTTATGATGTTATCAAATTTCTCGAAATAAGTTGGCAACAAAACCCACTGTACTTAACTTGAATTATTTTCTGCTTAGATCTCGTTACTGTCTTGGGTCCAGGTTTGAGAGATTTGAGCTCTTAGCAGCGACAGAAAGAGTCCTGTTATTGTTAACTCCTAACTTCTGACAGCTTCAGGAATAGGACGCATTTGCCGCTCTCAAACTCCCTTAGGGCTGTGCAACTGAGAGAATTCACAGCTTGTGACCGTGCCTCTGGAGAGGGTCAGTCCTTTGAATCATGCCCAAAAATGAGCAAGCAACTGATGGAGGAAAAAACCGTCGGAAGCTTCTTACGCTTCATGGTTGTAACCAGCCCTGTCTAGATATATTTTTCTGGTTATTTTGGTCAGTTAGGATGCTTAATGATCTTGCTTGCCTTGTAATCTTACCTTGCTGTGTTTGATCTTATGTTTCAGGTAACTCAGCAGCTGAAGGCCCGATTCTTACCAAGTCCAGTTGTTATTAAAAAACGTATTGAAGGACTTATTGAGAGAGAATATTTGGCACGAACACCTGAGGATCGCAAAGTATACACTTACGTAGCATAAAATGCGTTCAGAAAATTTGATTTATTCTTGGACTATACTCTTCGCATGAACTGGGAAGTTCTTTTAAATCATTAATATTAAGACGACCATCTCTTCTATTAAATTACAATACATGTTCTAGACCGTTCAGATCAAACCGTTTACTCCTTTTGAGAGTTTTCAACATCAGTTGATTGAGCTTCAGGCTTTTCGACGTTACCCCTGTAGAGATTATCCTTACAATTCTTCGGAAAAATGTGAATGTGCCGCGTTTGTTTTCAATACTGTATGAAAACAGAAAAATAAAAACAAATTTAGAAAATACAGCTCATTTAAAAAAAAAAATAAAATTGTTGAAATTTCATTTCCCCAGTTCTTCAGTGTTGATGTAAATGTGTTTCTGTAGTGTTGCTTAGCACTTCGCGCATTGTACGAGTTGGGTTTGAAAGAAACCACAACTGGTAAGGCAGAATTCCCAGTTATATTGCTCTGCTTCAAATGTTTCTTTAACTAGCCATGTTTAATTTAAATATTTGGTAATTTTTTGAAGACCCAAGGAGACAACTTGAGCATGTTTCACTCTTCCAACTGCACTCACTGTTCTGAAAACGTGAATCAGGAACTTCTCGGGGCTTAGAAAAGACCGTAATAATTTTGGCTTTCCCTTCTGTAATTTGAGTTCTTCTAAATTAAACTCTATATTGGTTAGGTTTGTTCTGGTTTCTTTATAGGATAAAGAAAAAGATTTTAGTGTGTATAAACTGTATAATAATTTTTGCTGTTGTACTCACTGCTGATGGTGGATTGTACAGGGCTATGTTTTTATTTCACTAAATGTAGACAAAATAAATTTAAAATAAATGGATTTAGTGTACACAAACAACTAATTCAAGTGTGTTAGAGTACAGGGTTGACAATCTTTTGGAACTAAATACTGTTCCCTGGGGAAACGTGCTGGGATTATCTTTTGTTAATAAGCATCATAGATAGACCTGGAGCCCCGGGGCTTCCCATCATAAGTGCATATTTCAGGAGATTAAAGTGAAGCCAGCGTGCGCTGTTTGTTTTCAGAAATGCATTTTAAACATGCAATAAAAAGCTGTTACTGTAATGAGACGTTTAGTTTTTACCCTGGAACTTTTTTCTTCTTGTCAGTATGCTGCAAAAAACAGATTAAAAATTGCAGTTTAGAGGCATCGTTATTGTCATAGTTAGAAATTGTTCGAGGTGGGCCTGGTACTGCAGAGTTGTTGTTAAACTATTTCTGACGTTGCAGTGCACCTATTACCTGGGTTCCTGGCCATAGCTGTTTTTCTGGTTTAATTCAATACTTTTTCTCTTGGTTCACACTGCTTTCATCCATAGATACTGAAAAATACAGTTGGGATGGGCTTCTCAGTAGTAGAGCTGGAGTTGAAACAAAAGGAAAACCTAGTTGTAGAGTATTTTGATGCTGCTAGAGCATTTCTTACTTACCTGTGTTAAACAAAGATGTTCTGGTAGTGTAGTGTAGCAATGCGGTTGGAGAGTATTTCTCATGGTGTGTCCCAGATTTCACCCCCAGGCAGCCTGTTGAAATACAAATCCTGGCTGTTGTTCAGTAGTAGAACATTTCTTCTAAAGACAGGGGCTGGAATTGGGGTGATATTTTAGCTTGCCTATTCTGAAGTGGTTTTTGAGAACCTTTACTCCAGTTTACTGCACACCCTCGACACGTTAGTTAATAATAAGAGAGGAGCTCTTAGGTCATCACAGGGGTGGTGGCTGAGGGACTTTCCTGCCACTGTTCAAGAATTTGGCTCCAAAAGAAAGCAGCGAGGCCATCAGCCATTCTGAAACTGTGTTTGCCCCGGTTGTTAACACCCCTGTGTCTCCACAGTATATGCAAAACTTCAGTAGAAAAGCAGTCACTGTATGGCCACAAAGCAATACCAGAAACTGGCTGGGTGAGGGGCTGGGTTTTGGATTATGTCTTAAGTCATCAGAAACTTCTTCCTCAGAATGTAACTCACTCTTTGGTGTATCAGTATGAAGGTTTTCTTTTATGCATATCTTATTCTTAAGCATAAATGTTGTGGTAATTGCATGTTAATGCTTTCCCGTGTGCTTTTCAGGGAGAAATGGGTTCATGTCCTTTTTCCCTGTGAAGTGTCTAGAGATGCCAATGTTGCTGCCTGACAGGAGGACTTTGTCGTTAGCATTGCCATTGTACTTCTGCTGTGTATCAGCCAAAGCTTTCTACCTCCTGTGGCTTTGGGAAGTGCTGAGCCTGAGTGTTCCGTGACTGACTGTGTAATTATGTGTTTAAGGATGGGTTTTTTACAAGCTGTATGGGCAAGAGTGTTTGCTGAAAGAGCAGGTGGTGGTGGCAGTCTTCAGTAACAAATACTGAGAGTATAGTTTCCATCTTAAACTTAATAGAATGTCGAAGACGTTCATTATTCGGGAAGGGACTTTTGCCGAAATCACCTTTTGGAAATGTGCCCTTTACCACTGAAGAAGGAGTTCATGGTGCTGAGGATTTAAATATTAAGAATATGCAAACTCTGGTCAGAGAACAAAGACATCACTGTGACTGCACAAGGTGAGTTGGATGCTCGTGCCCTTACGCTCTTTTACACTGTTTGTGTACTGCAGTGAGATTTCTGTTACAGTCCATGGCTGAATGCTGCTGTGCCTTACCTGATTTTATTTTTGCTTGCTTTCTTAATTTCCATGTGAAACTTCTTTATGGTTTTGTTACAACTTCATCAGTAGGCTTGTAATTACATGTGTGAGTGCAGTTATTGGCAAGTTTGGTTTCTTTGCGTTACTGTGCAGTTAAATGCAGTAACGACATAATGAACACGGAGCTTAATTCTTTAGGAGTTTTAATTTTAGGTAGGCTTTGAGTCTTATTTGAAGATCCATGAGCATGTACTGTCCGTGTAGACTAGTTTATTTTAAAGGGTCAAGAGTACATTTAACATCGTAACAAGTAAGGTTATCCTATGTATCCCTGATTTACTTTCTGCTGTTTTCAGTTGTAGCTACCTTTTACAGCTTTGATTTGCTCTTGTCTCCTAGAATTAATCTGAACAACTTCCACGTTTGCTGCAGAACAAACGAATGTTAAGCATGTCTGCAAAGCAGACTGAGTCTTGGATGATAAGTTACTCTTGAGTGAAATCTCTCCTCACCTTTTCTAAAGACAAACTTTGTCCTGTCCACCCTAGAGCTTTCAGTGTAGTACTGTCTCTTCTTCTTACCTTGGCTTACTGAGGATTGGCAGCTGGACCTTTAAAAACAGAAGCATTGCACTGAGCACTCTGAAGTACGACTGAAGTATTTTTATTAACCTGTATGGTAACAAAATTGTACAGTACCTGATAGATGGCCCATATATGCAGATGGTAATAGAGCCTGTCATGATGCGTGGTTTGGGGGATAAGCTTGCACAGAGATGGGGTTCCCGTTTTGTTGAAGACAGCAAAAACTGAAACTCCTTGTGGAATCCAGTTGCATGTCCAAAACTGGCCAGAACCTTTACAGTTCAATCTAAAACTCCCACTCCTGTGGTGTTCATCACAGTGGTTGGAGGCAAGATGGGCTCTGATCATGAGTTTGTTCCTCGGAGCCCGTGTGGATTAGAGCGAGGATTTGGCAGTCTAGAACTGGGCTCACAGTACTGTGCAGAGCTGGTGAAAGGCACTGTCTTGTCTGTGTTTAATTTCTGTTAATTTTGATATCTTGGATAGTAAACGAAATTGCCAACGTGCTCAATTTGAAGCGTGTATTTAACGGCTTCTTTGTCTCCTGGAATGTGTTAAGTGAGAAGTTTGTAAAAGGCAGAACTTACAATTTATCCAACTGTGAAAGCTGGATAAAGGAAGGGGAGAATAATTCACCTCGCTTTCTGTCCTTCAGTGTGTAGGGACATAGAGTGCGTAAGGTTCATGGAGTGTGCCCACAAACTGTCTTGAGTGTTCTGAACCACCTCCAGCTGGCTTCGTCCATGTTTTAACCCTGTATCTGACATGGCAGAAGTGACTGTTAATGTAAAGATGTTCTAAATGAAAGTGGCCCACCCTTACTTGCCTAACAAACAGCTGTGATAGACAGGCAGTGCCCGACACCCCCGTATCGGTGCAGCCTGGCTTACCTCTTGTGGGCATGGGGGTCTCCTTCAGATCAGCAGGGCTCCCCAGGTTCATCTGGTGTGCTTTAACCTTACTGATGTGACCATGCCTCTCACTGCAGGAAGGTGCTGCTGTGTGGGCATCAGTAGGTACCAGGTTTCTAGAACAGCTTCGCTCTGTGGCAGTCTTGCTCTTTTCTTCCTTTCTTCTCCAAAACTGGAACTTTGGTGGGGTTTGAGTCCGTGGGAGCTAATGCGTTACTGAGATGAGCGTAAAGTTAATGGTAACATTTGAACTTACAGCAGTGATGTTTTATTAGTTATTCTTTCTCCTGCAGCTCAAAAATTAGCTTTAATTTTTAAGTACAACAGATGCTGAGGAACCTTCCAGTCTTAAAGACTGCTATTCTGTTCCTCTTCTTTGAGCATCACACGGCTGCGCTTCACTTAATTTGTGCACCTTATCTTTCAAATGCCGGCAAAGCATCGACGTTGGACCTGTCAGAAGCTGAAGCGCAGGTGGTGCGGTGCATTGTGTGCGCTGGAGAGAGCAACGTTTCGGCAGCAGAGGATGTGTGTTTGCAGCGAGGGGCTGTTCCGCCGTCAGCACAGCACGGCGGCTGTCGTGCAGGAAGGAAGGCGCAGAGCAAGGGAAATGTGTGGAGCAAAACCACTTCTGAGATCGTGGTGGGTGTTGTGGGGCCCACAGTGGTCAAGTGTTGTGCAAAATGTGGTTTTAGTAACTTGTATTCGTCCCGTATTGAGATGGCCAGATGTGGCATCCTGGATGGCTTCCAGCAGGAAGTTCTACTAGAGATGCTTTTAACCACAGAAGCAGAGTCTGCAGTATAGAACTGCTCTGAACATCACAAGTTGTGACACTGGTAGAGCCAACAACGTAGCTGAGACGCTGTCCGTGCTCAGCCTTGTCACAGATCCAGGGGGCTCTGCAGTGGGTCCCGAAGGGGCAGGTCTTATTACCTGGGGACAATTGAGCTTTGTCTCTAGGTGGGCTCTTAAAATCACCTTTTAGTCCGGTGGGTTTTTACCTTCATGTTTCTTAGTTAATTATTCTCATCAGTTCAGTACCTGGAGCATCAGTTGTGATCACACTGTATTTATCCTGTATGCAGAAAGACACAGCACTGGTTCTTGCTTTAAGGAGCTTATAACTGTATTTACATCTAACGTGGATTTCTTTATTTTTACTACCTTTGAAATTAAGCCAGGGTTTTCAAGGGCAACCTGGCTGTTT